TAAAGAATCAGACGAACACAAAAAAATTTCTCTTAAACCGGAGACATGGTTGGAATTGTTATGTCAAGACCAAGTAAGTTTGATTTAGACAAAAATTTGAAAAATTAAGAAAATTCATTTCAATATCAACCTGTATTTTCCCCTAGGTTTTGCCACCTACAATGACACTTGCAACTATAAAAACGCATGTATGGAAACTTCCAGGAGATCTAACGATGACATATAGGTAAAATATAAAATATTTAAATGATGTTATTATTATATTATTACTGATCTAATTCTTTTTTTTTAAAAAAAAAAAATAGATTGAGAATTAAAAATGTTTAAATACAAATTATAACATTTTTATTGTATCATGATTTATTTATTATTTATTATTTATTAATTAATATTTATTTGGGACAATACATAGATAGATTGTAATTTAACTTTTAATATTTATGTTTTTTAGTATTTCAAAAAATATTATTAAAATAGAAAGATTAATTTATTTTTACAGAAAAAATATTTTAAATCAGGAAAATAATGATCAATAACAAGAGAGACAAGTCATTTGCTTTATTTCCTGAGAAACCTAAGGTCATGAACCAGATCTTCCAATTTTCAAGACACAAAGACATTAAATTCGTGATCGCGTGTGCTCTTTCTGTATTTACAATTGATTTCTTATCTCTAGCATTTTATTGTCATCTTGATTTTTTGAAAATAAAGTTATAACTAATAATTAAGACTTGGTGATAAAGCTGTTTCAGTAAGATCCTGTATAAATAATCAAACTGCCTGCGCATTTTTAAATAGATGATTTTTATCAAACAATTGATAATATAGGTGACCTTTCAATAGAAAAGGATCATAACGTAAAAATAGTAATTTGAGTTAATGCTACTACTACATACAATTCTTGGAATATTTTTGGATTAGAAATCATACCCACTTTGCATAATAAAATTTTGATCTTATTTTCAAACTTTTATTTTTAGATTATGGATGATCCTTTATTGGAAAGCCCCCATTGGGCACGAAGCCAAATATGAATTATCTTGAGGTCTCAATCGTAAAAAGTCCTTTAACCACCATAATTGACCTGGATCTA